TTGGCATGTTTTTTTAATTGCAATGAATAATTTAAATTAATTGCTTTTTTGTAGTTTTTAGAGAGTAGAATTTGTTTCGATGTCATGGATTTATCTCATTTAAAAATAAATATTTTCTATTATTGTGTACCTCTTTTTATCCACAATTATCCCTTCACTTGGACCGCACAAGTCTGTTCGCCAGTGAATACGTCTGCTTAGAATTTAGTGACGTTGCACGCCAGAAATGCGTCACAATTGCAATCTAACCCGATGTACGTAAGACATAGAGTTGAAATTGAAACGTCTGTCGCAACTCATATGTAAATCCCGTTTTGTTGTTTGACGCTACGTGAAGTGTGAGAGTGCCTGTGCATTTATAAAAGTTCCATTATGAATTCTAAACTGTTTTATACTTCAATATATGCGTCGCTGAAAAGTCGTTCGTACTCATAAATGGATTGCGCACGAAATTTCCCGTACGGCGCAAATAGTCGCCACAGGAATGAGAAGTAAAGGGCCATTAAGTGTAACTTGCAAGTAGGGTTACCAGCTCTGGAAATGAGAATCCGGTCTTCAACCAGCTACCAGACAAGAAAGCGTTATCCGGTCTTCAACCAGCTACCCGAAGAAAGAAGAAAGCTATATATATTTTGTTCCAAATTAAATAAGTTTCTCCACTCGTAAAATTCTTCATTTTTTATAAGATTGAAGTTGTGTATTGTCAATAATATTGCTCGTTACCTGCAGAGCCCTCCAAGTATAATCGGAGTGGTAAAAATCCGATCTTTGCACTTAAGATCCGGTCAAGACCGGATTTATACGGTCATATGGTAGCCCTATTCACAAAAACTATAATTAATTGAGTGACTATGGATCATCACATGGTATTGATCCTAAAACACTAATGTTGAAAGAAATTTAATTTGTCATATTAATCTTCCTTTCATCTCCGATTACGCGTTCTATTTGTTTAAAATAATTGCAGCAATCAGATCCATGCTTGTCACGACGAAGTGTCTTTGAAAGGTGGGACTTCATGTCAAATATTTAGGGCAATTTATGTAACTAAATAAGCATGTATCTTTCCAGCTTATTGTATAATATCAATATATAATTAAATAAAAATAACAACTTTATTTTCAGTTACTGCTAGCAGTGCCGGTGTGCAGTTTTATCAGTGGTATTAGTTTTAGTTTTAATTTATTTCTTTACAATAACTTTTTTTAAACGATAACATAATTATTTGTATACTAACCAATATGCAGTGGATGACAAATAAACACAATGTAATTAATGGCAATTTTTAAAATTATTACATAAAAATTATCCATAGAATAAAGTATAACATAAAGAAATAAGGGATTGTATCTTAATAAAATAACTTAGTTAAGTTGCTATATAACTTTTATCAGACGATTGAAAAAACTAACCTAAGTTTCATATCTGTCCCTCCTACAAATTGCATTAAAATTTTAAAAAGCATAAAATTCAATCAAAATATATATTTTCCAATAAAACCAAATAATAATAGTATGAAATACCTGGGGTAAATGTCACAATCATCATTATTTGTCTTTATTACAGTTCATCATAAGTTCACTGTTGAACGTAGGCCTTATTTTAATACAATGAGGTGACGAACGAGCAAACAGTCCTGATGACAAGTGGATGCTGTGGCCCTTAGAATTATACATTTATCCTCAATTGAGAATAAAAACGCGGATGCATTGTCACCCCTCAAGACTAAGATGGAATGCCTCATTTCCAGTAAAAAGGGTCTCCAGTTCTATACACCCACCATATGAAACAACAGCTTAATGCTGCTATTTTACACTGGTATTTTGCAAGAGTGTACTCTTACCCCGGTCGAGCCAACGCATTCCTGCTACTACCATATATGGCTGTAGCTTGGCTCTACAACATATAAGACCAGCCCAAGGAGAGTCACAAAAGCTACAATTTCTATAAGACGCCAGAACTCTGATTACATAATTTTATTAGGCTATAAAAATGCTTTAATTTTAACAATTTCAAGAGAATCACTTTAGTTTCTATGTTACATAATATATCTACATCTTGACAATTTTTTTATTTTCAATTTATGAAACCCGTCATAAAAGTAATCAAAATTAATAATAGACGTGACGTAGTGTTTTGTTTATTATAACATTAAACGAATTAGCTGAAGCTGACAGTCCATATGAGTATTGTTCATAAAACCTACACCTATCTGCAACCAAAAACTTCTGCAGGTGCATTGAATACCTCATAGCCTATTGAATTAGTGACTCTTATTACCTTATTAGTTTCAACAACAATTTACAACAGGGAATACATTGCTGCTAGGTAGCAGAAATAGGAAAGTGGGGGGGCGATTTTTTGAGCAATTTTTTTCTATTTAAAAAAAATTATAATAAAAAAAATTACAATTTTACTGCCCATAACTCATTCTGTTCTACCCAAGGTTAGCTGGTAGAGAATGCCATATAGCACTAAGCTCGTCTTTTGTACAAAATCTTTGGAGCCAAAGACTAAAATAAATATATAAATAAACTTATATATATACATGTGAAAACACATCTGGGATATCCTCATAAATAATAATGTAATTTAAGGTTAATAAAATAGATAATAACAATATAGGTGATAAGAGGGATTGTTCTTTTCCCATTCCATGACTAAGTATACAACGGATAAACAGTCAGCATTTAGCATTACATATCACAAGGAGTTGGACTGGATAGGATTTTTTTATGATGATAATAAATATATAAACATACTATATGTTTTATATGTTAATGTTGTAAACAAATAAATGAAAAAGTATTTTAATCTTAATATCTTAACTTAATATACATATAATATACAATATATTTATTATGTGGTAAAGCCATGTTGCAGTTATATTAATTGTATAGTTATAGCACAAATGGGTCTACACTCTCACAGAATACCAGCGTAAAATAGCAGCTTAATACTGCTGTGTTTCATATGGTGAGTGTAGAGATCCTGAGACCCTTTTTTACTGGAAACAAGGCATTCTATCTTAGTCCTCACGGTTGACAACGCATCTGCATTTTAATTCGTAATGGAGGATAGATGTAGATGTCTATGGGCCACAGCAACCACTTACCATCAGGTTGACTGTGCTCGCTTGTCACCCTTTTCCTATTAAAAAAAAAAAAACAGCCGGCCAAATTTGCAGAGAAGGTTCAGAATAAACAATATAGGCAAATGGTGAAAGAAAATTAATAAAAAAAAATATTTCAAACATTCTGTCCTTTTTCTCTTTTAAATTCGTAATGCACACATTTGTAAGGGTCGATCGGTGAGCAAAAACTTTGTTGCCCATAAAACACATTAAATATTTGGTTAATTTCAAATAAAAGTAGAAGCCTTATTTACTCATACTTTCAAAAACAGCAATAATGGTGTATCATTATTTATATATTTGAACTTAAGTTTAAAATTTCTTTGAAATATAACCTTGTATAATGAAACTTTTCACTGAATCTATTGAATTATAAACAACCAATCTATCAAAACAATCTATTATACATTAAAGTGCAACAAAGTTTTGATAACAATATAGTAAATATATGATATGATAGCAACCTGCAGTCAGCCAGACAGATAACCGCATTACGGTTACCCTCATAGTGCGTATGAGCTCTAACTAAATTTTACTTTCATAAGACAAGTTTTGGTCAGTCAATATCCATATGTAAGTCGTCATTAAAGATAGCTCATCTTTCTTTTTGTACATTTCAATGCTGATAATTGTACCAAACTAAGATTAGACTGCCTACAATTTGTATTTTTTTAGTAATAATATTAATCTATCTGCTATCTGTCAAATTTAGATACACAGCTAGTAAAATAAGGCACATAAAATAACACATTTTAGGGATTTTTGTTCCTTAAAATGTCAGTCCCATTAAAGCTAACTTAAAATCTATACATTTGTTATTAATCTATACATTTGTTATTAATCTACACATAATTAATGCAATATCCGAGGTGGGGGCATGTAGGATGCCCTGCACAATACCTATATTGTACACATTTATCTTATATGTCCTTACAAATAATTCCCTTGCCCCTCGGTTCCGCTCACATTCCATTGAAAAATGATGTAAGTCTTCAATTACTCCAAGTTTTACAGTGAGGTGAATCAGTTCTTTTCATCAAATAAGAAAATATTTTTGATGGAATGTGACCTGCTCTTATCCTAAATATTAATTTAATAGTATTTCTATTTAATTTTGTATCTATATACCAAGGTATTCGAGGCAGTTCACTCTGTATTGTTTTATACCAAATACCTTTCGTTTTAGAATGTTCATTGAAAAATTCTGTCCATTTGTTATGACATGAATTTTTGAATTTTGGTAATACTTCTGAGTAGCAAGGGTCAATATTATACTCTACACCATTTATACAAGCATAATTCGCTAATATATCTGCCTCCTTGTTACTCAGTAAACCAATGTGTGCTGGAATCCATTGCACTCTTACACAGATGTCGCATATACTGAACTGATTTATTTGTGAAAGTATGTTATACAGGCTATTGGCTAAAGGCTATCGAAACACCTCTGATTACAGAGGCGGATCGAGCCAAATGTTGGATAGCAGTTTTGCTGTCCGAGTATATAATAATTTTGTTCCAGTTATAGCTTGCGGTATACTTTAGGGCTTCAAGTAATATTGCAATGAGTTCAAGGGTCATAATACAAACGTCATTCGTAACTTTATAAGATCTGGTTTTACTTTAAATGAGGAATGAAATAGTAGTATTTGCTTATAAACATAATTCTAGTTAGGTTTTTAAATGATTTTGGTTAGCTTTATGAAAATAGCATAATTTTCTTCTTTAAGTAATAGTATGTTACTAAACATTTTTATACAAAAATAAAAACTAAGTTACTCTATACTACACAAAAAAAACCATAGCAATATTTTGATTTAATTGTCTCATGTCATAATCTACATTATAAAAACAAAAGAAAACTCACCAGCTACTTCTAAGAGTGTTTCGAGTCTCGCCTGCATCTCGGGATCAACTGCTCTTTCTGGGTCATCATGGGAGAGTAGGAACTTAGATGACTCTGCTGCACTACCTTCTTCTTCCATCTCCTGCTAGAACACATACAAAATATTAGAACAATATTCACAAACCAAATCTTGATCATTTATTAAAGGTTGTTTATAAACAAGTTTTAATTTAGGTAGAAATATGAAGATAACACATTTATTATAATTTTGTTATTTCCTGGACCAGATAAGGATTTGGGGAAAGCAAATGAGCAATTAACAGATCTCATTACTTAAAAAGAGGAACAATACAGAAAATGCAAAATCAAAAGCAGTAAAAAATAAATTAAAATGTATGTTTAAATTGTTAATGTTTATTACCAATAAATACTTGTAAAACAAATGTTTTTAAATCATACATACACTACAAATGTGTAGTTTTTTTTTTAATTTAAAAAAACGAGTTCTAATACAGATTAACAAAAATTTTACAAGATTAGTTTTTGTATAGGAATTCAATCTCAAGCTTATATATGAGCAGCTAAACTATCATGAGCAATCATATAGGTTAGCAGTGTTAATGTTACCACTAGAGAAATAATAAAATCAAAGCAATATAATTTGTTAGAATCACAAGGACCATCCAACATTAACAAAACAAAATGTTATGATACTGAAATGTCCATTGCACACACATTATGCAGGTTAACACTAAGAACCACTCTGCAACAGCGATTGGTGTTGATGAAGCTATCGGCACACTCGGCAGAGTTCTCTTCAACTTACCAACAGGTCTGGCCTGCTAAGGCACAAACAAGCCAGCAAGATCTATAACACCAATGAGAAAAATATAAGATACACTGACAATGTGGTGCCTGGGGACGAGCTTACAACTAATGTTTATAGTCAATGGTCCTTGCGATTGGCGAATAACCAACATTTTTGCGCGAATCGCTCCGGGCGTTTTGCACAAGTGGTTTGCGCGTGACGACATTCAAGCAAAACACTACACACTAAATCTGGGTAAATCCACATAAATATCATATAGCTAATGCAATCACATCGAAATATTTCCAGAAAAACACAATATTCAGTACTTCGCATTGACTAAGTGCATGTGATTCAAGAAACATGGCCACCGCAGTTCGACCCTTATCCAAAACACAAATAGACAATGAAAAGATTTACGGCATATTAGCCCTCAACGTAAAATTACAAAGAATCAATTGAATTTGTCAAGTAACGAATAGCATAAATAATTTCATGCATTACATACTCAGAAGAACGTAAGTACTTGTGACTTTCTGACGTTTTACGGAATATTTGGCAAGTAACTTGCACCGTAGAAATAAAGAAAAATTATCATATCTACTTTTAATGCACGATTCAAATATATTTTATGAATAGATGCGATTACAATACAAAAAGAAATTCTATGCCCAATCAAATACAAGATGTCCCTTGTAGTCTTTAGCGGTACAGATAATCACAATCCTTCACTGCCACCGCCTCTGCCAAAAACAAAACACGTTTTACCTCGGATACAGAATCATCCTCGCTTTCCGAAGAATCCGTCATGTATTTGGCAGGCACTCCTGAATACGTTTCGGTTTCAGATTTGGCCGGACTCGAAGCCGAACTCTGAGGAGTGGATGATTTTACCACATCAAGTTGCACATTCACCTTATCGATATTTCCGTTTTCAGACTGTCCAACATTCTGCATTTTTATCCTAATCCAATACAACTTAATTAGTCTTTCAGTATCAACACTTTTCTACGAATTAGCACGTTCTTATATTAGCAAACAACATTTATTTCGTCATTTAGCCAGATTGATACCCGCCATGTCTACTACTATGGCGAGGTTCCCGGATGCTTCAAGTAGGCTAACCAATTATCTCCCTCTGGCGATAAAATTGTGAACTTTTTTGTGCTGCCATCTGCTTTAAAAAATGCATTTTGATATTCATAGACAATGTATACTTTTATTTTAATATTTACGTAATTATGATATGATTAGGAAATAGTTGCTTTTTTTATAAATATGTGGAAATAGTTAATAGTTCATAACTAAGCCGGTTCTCGTGTGAACAAGTTTTTGATAAAATTTTGTACAAATTGACTACTACTTTACTAAAGAAAAAATATGGGTAAAACTATAGACATCCGGTAGGTACTCGCGTACGTGGGTAGGAGGGGTTGAGGGAAGGAGTGGGTTCAGGGGAAGCCCTCCTACCATCCCATTCCACAGAAGCTCAGCCAGGGACCGACCGTTAGTGAACAGAGACTAGACAGGGGGCTCCTACCGATTGTATCAGAGCTCACATACCAGGGTTCCGATCAAGAAGAGGTTCAAAAGGATCCCATGCCACAGAAGCTCAGCCAGGGACCCACCATTAATGAAGACAGGGGACTCCTACCGATTGTTTCAGAGTTCACATACCAGGATTCTTATCCAGAAGATGTACCCAAGGATCTCATGCCAAAGAAACCTAGCCAGGAACCCGTCATAAGTGAAGACAGGGGGCTCCGTCCATTTATATCGGAGCTTACGTCCGCTATAGCCGCGCTTGCTGACAAATCAAAATTAGAGAGTGCGCCACTATCATCGCACACTTACGCAGCGTCGAAAGCTATAATGACACTGCCAAGCTTTAGCGGAGCACATACCGAGTGACTTTCATTTCGTGCTATTTACGAAACAACCCGAGGTTACTTCAATGACATTAAAAACACTGCTAGACTAAGACGAAGTCTACAAGGAAGAGCCTTGGAAATAGTCAGTTCAGAACTCATCGGGCATGCTAAGCCAGATGAGATTATGCGAGAACTGGAGCTACAATTTGGGTGTCCAGATTCAATCGCGCAAGCAGAAACCGTGAAGTTACGAGGATCAGCATGCTGTACAGAAGCACCCATAGACATCTGCACATTCGCGAGCAAAGTGAGGGGAAGCGTCGTCACTCTTCGAGCCCTAAATTGAGATCATTACCTCGTCAACGTAGAGCTGCTGCAACACCTCCCCGACAAGCTGCCAAACTCTATACGTGCCCAGTGGTATAGAATCTACACCGAAAAATATGACTCTAGACCAGACCTCGGCTGCTTCAGCGAGTTTATTAGCGAGCAAGCTCGCTTCTGCAGTGCATTTGCGCCTCCAGAAATTATAAACGAAGCACAAAGCAATCGTTCAGTACATAGAGCACAGGCGGCTACTACTAAGCCGTCTCCAAAATGCAGAGTGTGCTAAAAGGAGGGTCACTACGGATCCGATTGTAAAAAATTTAAGGAAGCAGATATCAACAAAAGATGGGAACTCGCAAAGCAAAATAATTTATGTTTCCGCTGTTTAAGTTATAGAAATCAGACACACAAACGCAAAACCAATAAGTGTGGAATAGAAGGATGCACCGCGACACACAATCGAATTCTCCATAATAATACAAAAGAGAAGACAGAGGTCAAACAAAAAGAACCTCAAGAAACTGTAGCTAACTCGTCCGCTGTGTCAAAGCATTAAGGCTATTTAAAAATAATTCCAGTGCGAGTAATCGGACCGGCGGGAGCTGTAAACACACACGCCCTGCTGGATGATGGGTCAACAGTTTCACTAATGGATGAAGAGATCGCCAAACAAATTGGAGCTACAGGGCGGTTGGACCTGTTTAAGATCACCGCTATCGGGAACACTACCCTCGATTCACCGGAATCAAAGAATCGCTGAAGAGTCTCCACAGCAAAAGGCTGCCATTCAGATTACGCACGGTCGCAAGCCTAAACTTGGGGCCACAGACTGGTGCGTGCAGCAGACATAGCCAAGTGCAACCACTTGAAAGACCTAAAGGAGCAGCTAATATATGACTCCGGCAACCCAAGAATCCTAATAGGACAGGACAATTGGAGACTTCTGATAGCCACTCAAATCCGAAGAGGTCCGCCGCCCAATCGCCTCGCTCACAGAATTAGGATGGGTGCTACACGGGGCACACACTAAAGCCCCGTATCAGCGCGTCCACGCGGCCAATGAGCTGCACAAGAGCGAGGGGACTATAGATGATCAACTCCGCGAATATTTCGCGCTGGAATCTCTCATCATCAATCCGAGAAGACCAGACTCCGATCCAGAGAAGAAAGCTGAAAATATATTAAATAGCAGCACCCGTCAGTTACAAGACGGGCACGTAGAAACAGCGCTTCTCTGGAAGAAAAAGGATATGAATAGCAAAAGACACTGGCGACGCTCCCAGATACTCGCTGACATGTTCTGGCAGCGTTGGGTCCTAGAGTATCTACCGGAACTTCAAAACCGGCGGGAGGCCCATGGGCGAGGTCCCAATCCCCAGGTGGGCGACCCAGTCCTCATAGCTGACGGCCAGTTACCTCGTAACACCTGGCCACGAAGGAGGGTGGAAGCTGTTTACCCCGGTGCGGACGGACAGATCCGCACTGTGGAGGTACGCACAGCAAACGGCTTAATCAAGAGGCCAACCAGGAAACTCGTGCTGCTGCCGAAGTAGAAGCAACGTCGCTCACCGAAACGGATGCAGCGCCGCTGTGAGAAAATTGTCGCGACGCTGCACGGCGGGAGAGATGTTCGCAACGGCCTAACAACGCTCAGAAACGAAGTGATAAAGAATATTGTTTTTTGTATTAATAGTGAAATTACCGACAAAACTGGGTTAAAACGTGTATTTAATATAGTTGTTTAGCATGTTTATAACTCTTAGTATTGTTACGCGCTCCAGTCAACGATACACTAGCGCCATCTAGTGTCAGGAACGAGAGCGAGGGGAGCATTGAGAAAATGACATCACAAATCGCTCAACTGACAGCGCCTAGTCGAAACTCGAACGCTCGGTACCTTCCGCGTGTTTACTTGAACATTCTGGATATTTCTTTGCTAATTCAAATATATAGGCGCTGCAAGATGCGATCGAGGCAGTGTTGATTTGGGCGAAACAAGCGAAGCTTCGGAGTGGAATTAAGTGAATTAGTGTGTTTAAATTATTAGGATTGGATTGGATTGAGGATGTTTTAACTTTAATTGTGTAAAGTAAATTAAAGTGTTAATTTAGGTAATTTTATCGGCAATTTTTATTGTCACGAACCTCAAGCTCGTAACAATTGGTGTCAGAAGTGGGATAAAATCATGCCGATTTTACCTAAGGAGGAAACGGAGGGTGTCCGTACCCGAAATCAACGCCAGCAGGAGACGGACCAAAGAAGATTTGGTGGTGCAACGCCGCTGACGTCGGAGGGCCAGCCGCCGGCTGCAGGCCCGTCAGTAGCTCCTCCATCTGCAGCACCCGATTTAGGTGCTCTGATGGTGATGCTGCAGGAACAGGCTCGCCGACAGGAGGAACAGGTCCGTCGGTTGGAGGAGCAGCTGCGGGGTGGACAGGATGAACAGGCTCGTCAGCAGGCGGAACAGGTCCGTCAGTTGAAAGAGCAGCTGCAGAGCGGACAAGAGGAACAGGCCCGCCGACAGGAGGAACAGATGCTTCTCATGAAGGACCTTCACGCTACCTTCGGGAAAGAGATAAGGGAGGTGAAAGATAAGGTTGCTCAACATGAAAACCGCCTGTCGGAAGCTGAAACCCGAATTGACCTAGTGAACAATCGGGTTGACAACGTAATGGCTGACATGAGGAAATCACTTGACGAACTCAAACTTGGCGAGGGAACTTCAGTTCCCGTAGTAGCTACTACACCTTCGCTACGTGGGTTCAAGGTGCCACCATTCGACGGGACTTCTTCCTGGTCAGCCTACAAAATCCAGTTCGAGGCTGTTATGAAGGCGAACGGCTGGAATAAAAGTCAGGCCATGACTGCTCTCACACTAGGCCTGCGCGACCAGGCCTTAACAGTTCTGGAAGCTCTCGGTGAGGAAGTGACTTATGAGCAACTCCTTGAGGCATTGGAGGCGAGATATGGCGACGCTCACCTGGAACACGTCTTTCGTGCGCAGCTTAAAGATCGTGTGCAGCGCATCAACGAAAACCTGCAGCAGTGGGCTCTAGAAGTGGAGAAGCTGGTGCGAAAAGCATACCGGTCTGTACCTGCGCTCATTGAAGGGAACCTGGTGCAGACATTCATCGACGGCATCCGCGACCTGGAAGTCAGAGCTGCTGTGAGGCTCGGGCACCACGAGACGCTTAAGAACGCCTTGGCCCATGCACTGGAAGTGGAAGCCGTGCGGCAGGATCATCGTTCCCATCGCGTCAGGGAGGTTGCGGCAGCTACAGTTCGCGACCGCAACAAAAGATACAGCCCTAGGTGCTATGGCTGTGGGGAAAGGGGCCATCTTCGGTCCAGCTACCCTGAGCACACCCTACGAAGGGAAGGTGAACGGTCTCAGAAAGGAAGTGCGGCTAACAGCACCGCCCAGCAGCAGCAGGAATACGACTTTACTATTAGACACTGCAGCGGGAAATCTCACGGCAACGCAGATGCAGTGTCAAGAAGACCTTGTCCTGAAGATTGCAACCATTGTAGTAGGCAAGAGAGTAAGGAGGTGGTATCCGTGAGGATGCTCAGGACAGACCACCTCAGCAACGGGTGGAAGGACAACCTACGACATGCACAGCAGGAAGATCCGGACATCAAGCCGATTCTGGGATGGATGAAGGCCCGTGCTACCAAGCCTAAGTGGAGGGACGTCTCAGCGATGAGTTCAACCACGAAAAGCTATTGGGCCCAATGGGACAGCTTGCTGATTCAGGA